GGAGGGAGGGGGGGGGGAGAGGTGGAGGCTAACTGTGGCAATTTGGTAATTGGTATTTTTTCCACGATCGTCTCTTAGGTAAGTTGTCATATGTATCTCATATTGTTTCACGTTTTTTCTAACAGTAGTATTTAGGCATTCAGTTTTTTCATCAGGTCGTTTCTATCTTATACGAGTAATCATAATCTTGGCCAATATCGTTTTTCTATCATCTTTAATTAATTTCTTGATTAATATCTAGACTTATTCCCGTCTATTCCTATGTTGGTATCTTACATTTCCTGTTTAATCAATCTGGAAGGTATTTTCAAATACCTAGATTTCTAGTCAATGTACGTTCCTGTATGGTATTCTTAATATCAAAATCCTATTTCATTATTTACTAATTAAATTTTCCCTCTTCACTTCCTCAAAAAACGTTACAGTGGGACTGGTTTTCTCTGTGGATTTTCTAAGGTTGGTTTTATTCATAGTTCTATTTTTATTGGGTATTCATGAAATGACTTGATATCAATATTCTGCGTGCGCGTTTTTTTATGGGAGTTGCTTTTCTTTCCCGGCTGGCCAAATTAGTGTTCTGTCGAAATTGGTGGTATGGTACTATAGGAGGGGGGAGCAGTGCTCTGCAGGGGTGTCACATGGAGGGAGGTGACGCCCTGAAGAGGGTATGTGCAGATGTTGAGGGATGCTCTATTCTGGGGTTGGGGTAGATAGCCTCAGCGGGGGCAAAATAGGGCAAGGGGTCCGCAAAGACATCCTTTTGGTGGGAACTGAATGTCTCTGGGAATATAGCAAGGAAGAGAGGGACTGTTCCAAGTTGGGGCCGAAAGGGAGGGCCTATATTTTAGGACTGTTTTCGGCGGAGGCAATGAAGGGACAGGGGGGAAATGAGTAGGGGGGGGAAGGGAAGAGACTCTCAAAAGTTCGAATTACTAGGTCTTCAATACACAATGTAGTGCTACACACATCCTGGGAGACAGACAGCTGTCTTTAAAGATCCAGGATTAGCGTAGTACTCTACTGATAAATCATCATCATCATCATCATCATCATCATTAGTATCATCTCTCTTCTGTTTTTTTGGATTCTGGTAACATTTAGTCTTCGTCCTTAGCTGGGGAATAGGTGCTCAGAGATGGTATAATCCGGACTGAGGTCAACAGAGTTGCTCTGTTCTGTGACCCCGGTTCGCCGATGCCAGAACGACGCTGGCCGGAGCTGGGGTGCCGCCCTGTAACCTGCAGATCGCAGGAGTGTGAGGCCTTGTAGAGAGATCAGGGTGTTGCCGAGGGAGGAAGGCAATTCAGTGGTGAATCGGAGGGGGCTGCTAGGCAGTGAGAAGAGTTCAGCAATGTGAGATGTTGGTTAGGATAGTATAGTTTCTGAGTATCTCTTGTCTGGTATAGGGAAGGAGAGGTGTTAATCTAGGTTTGGGGGGCCAGAAGAGATGATATAGTTTAATAGTATCACAATCATCTGTAGTGTCAGCATCTTATTTGCATCATTAGGATCATCAGGTTCATTGTCATTATTATAGGAGGGACGCTGAGTCCGGTTTGCAGGGAATTTTGGTTCAGTCTCTCCGGGCAGACTGTGAGGACCCCGGCCTCATTATTTTCATTCGGAATATCAGCCTTAATCTGGGCCTTATTAAAAAACAAAAAAACAAAAAAGGAGTGCAAGGGGAACACCAAGCAGACAATGTCAAGGACGCTGCAGAAGTACGCAGAATCAAACTCAAATTCGACAAATGGAAAAAGTATCACGCATCATGAGGATCGGCGTCCCCGAGGGGGCAACCACCAATCATCTCCCAAAAACTACGCCCGCGTTTCTTTCACTCCCACTTCCGTGCTGCTCATCACCGACATTCCGGATTGTCGGCGGCTTACAACTCCGTCAGTCCTGAAAGAGGTAGATCGCTACGCACGTGAACTGTTTATCACCAATTTACGTCTTCAAAATAACCTGACACGTGCTCAAAAAGTCAGAATGCACACCAAAAAACGAGACCGTGTGTCTTGGTACCTCTATGGTACCAGGAACCGGTATCACAAGGCCAAACCCACAAAACGCACAGAGGATGCAAGTATAACCCAGTTTGCATACAATCCGGTACCAACTAAAACGGGTACACAGTACTTGGCCCAGGTCGGCAAGCCAAATGAGCAAACAGGTACTGTAGGTACGTGGATCAAACCCATAACAAGCCAAACGCCAAATCATTACACCGGCCTACTCCTAGCAGTCAAAACTACTTATACAGCAAACCAAACCAACAAGTACCAAAACACAGACCCTAGTCCCATGCGGACCCTAGTCCCGGGATAAAGGACTTACGCCAGGGCTATTTTCCAAAAAAAAAAAAGGATAAAAATCCTGAATCTGGCCATGTTTAACAGTTTAATGCAGAGATACAGAAAAGCAGTTCGATCTCAATTTCCTGCCTGTCCTCAAACACGTCCACATTCAGGCATTCAATCCGACACTCGTTGCTTGTGGGACCATGGCCCAGGTAAATAGACGGGCCACTTGGAAATGCCTTTCCAAGAAAAGAAAAAGGACGATTTGATATTCTAACTTTTTGAAGGAGCAGGCGAATTGTCTACAAATCTTCAGCACTTGGCTACAGGGCCGAGGTCCCACTAGCGGATCGAATGCCTGAATCTGGATGTGTTTTATGGAGAGATGCAGAAGCAGTTCAATCTCTATTTCCCGCACCTCTCCACAAACATGTCCAGGTGCAGGCATTCGATCCGATCCTCTTCGCTAGTGGGACCACGCCCCAGGTAAATAACTCGCTTGCCTGCTTCCCAACGAGAAGTTGCATAGGTTGGAAAGTTTGGCTCAGTGAGCCCTTTTTCCTGTGCTTCAAAGTTTATTTGTTGGAAAGTTTCTTCCTTCAGCATGGCTTTGGCCTTGTAGTTTTATTCAGTTTGGTCTTTGGCTGGTCCTTGAAAGTTGTAAGCTAAACTCACTGATGCTGTCAGGATAACTCGGGGTTGAATTGTGAGGTCCCCGGCCTCGTCCCATGGAAATTTTCTAATAAAATGTTTCAAGCTTCCCCCC